AGTGGGCTTGACTTCAGAGAGGTAGCACTCCTTGCCATCTTCTGGTCTCCCCGTAGGGAGCCGACTGTTCTATCATCTCTTTCAAACTTGAGAAGCATAAGAGAAGGAATGATAACAGCTTTGGATTCATTCAGGGTGGGGCTCCCCAAAATCATGTTATAGGCCGTTAGTTCTTCAACAATTAAGAACCGGACCACCATGTGGCATCCCTTCCCTTTCTCGCCCAGACGAATGGGTAAGTCTATTCAACCTACCGGATGTACCACACCACCCCCAAATCCCACTAAGGGATGAAAGAATCGGTGCATATTCTCGGGCTTGTACCTGAACTTGGTCAGGCACTTGTGACTGATGAGATCAGACGAGCTCCCAGTGTCAATGAGGATCCGGGCAACTCTTTGGTTGGCCACTTTGCATTCGATGACAATAGGGTCATCATGCGGCCTCCTGATTTTGCCTTTGTCATCCTATAATAACGACTTCGGGGAAGTAGTCCTTGGACGCCTGTCCCTCGTCGACTAAGTTAACATCGAGGCGCCTGACATAGTCTTTATTGCCCCGGATGGTAGGGCCGCCTCCGGCAAAGCCGCCTGCTATTAGATCGGAGTTTCATCCGTATCCGAGCTATCAGCAGAGTGAGGCTTCTTTTTGGACGACTGTCCAGGGTTAGTCTACAAGGTAACCTTTGACCTCAAGATATAAGACTTGAGGACTCCTTTGTCAGTCAGACGGTCCAATAACCGCTTGAGGCTATAACATTCGTTGGTGTCGTGGCCAATATCCTCATGGTAGTGGTTGTATTTGTTTTTGTTCCGATTTTTGGCGGAACCTTTCATAGGAGCCGGCTTGTCAATAGAGACCCGGTCCTTAATCTCCATGAGGATGGAGTAACAGTCCTTATTGAATTCGTACTTTGGGGAGTTAATCTTCGCTTCTCTCTTTTCTTCTAGGATGGCTGTTCAGAAGTTTCAGTCACCCAGACTTGTTTTCTTTTCTTTTCTTCTTTCTTAGCCGGTTGTGATGGCCGACTCTCTTTTATGTCAGACCTCTTTGGGTCCGACTTCTTACTGATGTTACAAAGCTCGGTCGCCTGTATATAGGCGTCCGCCTCCATCAGTGCCTCTTGGAGGGTAGCCACCCTCTTCCTGACGAGGTCGAACTTGAAGGTCGACCCGTCCTTCAGACCTTTGAAAAAGTTTGTGTAAGCTACCTCATCAGACAGTCCTTGAATCTAAATTCTCATCAGATTGAACCGCCTGATATATTAGCATAGCCCCTCCTTCCCTCCCTGCTGTATGGATCCTAAGTCAAGACTTGTTTTCTTCGCAGGGATATTCATTGAGAAGTTTGACGGAAACAAGTATCCAAGCGTCTTAAAGTTATTGATGCATCCGGTTAGCAGATTGCCAAACCATTGCTGGGCGACGCCCTTCAATGTGGCCGAGAAGCATTTACACCAAGTAGCGTCATCCAACCCTTGTAGATACATAAGGTTGGTGTATGCCATCAGGTGGTCTTCAGGATTGGTGGTACCATCATAAGTACCTACCAATACATTTTTTACCTTGGCCGGCTGTGTAGCCTCAATTATTTCCTTGGAGAAAGCTGAAGGCTGATCCCCAAGTCTTAGTAGTCGGAGCTGCCAATCCAAAGGCTGGATATTGTGTGTCGCCTGCCCCCCGAAGAGGGTAGGCTGCATATAAGGTGGTCCGTACGACATGTATGGCTGTAGAGGCGCATACGGGGCCGCTTGGAACATCTGAGGACTAGAGTGGGCGGACAGGCCGCCTGTCTGGTCCTCTTGGTTTGACTGAGAATACCTCATTGAGGCATTCTGAAAGCTTTCATTGAAGTTCAACGTGGAGGTTGACTCTGACAGTTGCATATTCTTCTTTTGCTGGATTATCATCCGAGCATCGGAATATGTTTTCTTGGAACCATCCGGCTGTACATGCCGGATGGCCTTTCTCTTCCGTGGCTCAGGGAACCGAAGTCCGGCCAAGTTTAACAACGGCTTCTGTCCCTCACTTGGTTTAGGGTAAGGAGTGGCCTCTCGGTCTTTGACTGGCTTATTCCTCCCAGAGTGAGAGGGCTTTTTGGCCGACTGTTCCTTGGTAGGAACAGTCGTCCGCTTTTCAATAAGATCCTTTATCTCCCCTTTGAAACTTGTCATGAGGGTCATGAGCTCGTTTCTAGTGATGGGGGTGGATCCTTCGGGCGCCTGGAGCTGACCAGTCGGTTGGCTGACTGTTTCACTGGGCTCTGCTTGGTCAGTGTTCCATTCCCTCCTTTCGGTGGGACGGATGCGTCGTGTCCTGAGAGACCCGTCAAGGGCCGTATGGGTGGCGACTTCATAGTCATCATCTGTATCTTGGTCTGAGAAGACCTGGACGTCGACCGTGGGCCGTTTCTCATTAAGAGATGGTACAGGTTCTTGTGAAGTCATCTTTGAAGTACTCTCCCCACAGAAGACGCCAAATGTTTTGGGGTTTTTTGATGTCCTTCGGGAGAGTTACAATTCCAAGACTGACCTCTGGACGCCTGTACCTGCAAAACAACGGAGACTCCGGTGGGTAGGAGTTCTGCCTCCGACGATCAAGTTAGAACGTGTATGAGGAGTAAAGTTCGGAAAGTAAAAGGTCTCTCTCGAATTCCAAGAGAGAATATGCAATGTGTAATTGCTCAGTTAGAGGTGTCAAGTGTCTGACTTTCTCTGAAGGAGAGTTAATTTGAATCAAATATTTCTGAATCCAATGTTCCTTAGAGGGAAACATCTCCCTTTTATAGGGTGTTGGAAAACGTGCCCAGTACTAGGTTTCAGTATACCTAGGCTGACTGGGCTTTGCCTGGAACTTTGGGTCGTAAGAGGCCTGCTTTGCTGGTTGGTTATCTGTCTGCCACGTGTCAAGGCCTGATTGGTCCACCTTGGACCTCTCATGAAGTGAAACGCGGCGGACTCTTCCGAATCTTTATATGAGTATTGGCAACGTTTTAACAGGCTTTGTTCATCTTGTCGACAACACCAAATTAGTGAGCAATTGCTAATTCAATATTTTTATGAGGGGTTGTTACCTAATGAGAGAGGTATGATAGATGCATCTAGTAGGGGGGGCATTAGTAGATAAAACACTAACTAAAGCTAGGAAGATAATTTCTAATATGGCTCAAAATACTCAACAATTTGGCACTAGAAATGATGTTAAAAGAGTTAATGATGTGGATTTAAGTGAAATTAAATATCAATTACAAGAAAATGCTCAACAAATTGCTACTCCGACCACCTTAGTGTCTAAAATTGTTCCTGGTAATGAGTCTAGAGCTAGAGTATGTGGTGTTTGTTCTGATTTTTCTCATGCTACTGATGAATGTCCTACTTTATAGAGTGAAGATATTAATGCCTTAGGGGGTTTTTCTGGTCAACAAATAGGAAGTATGATCCTTTCTCACAAACTTATAATGAAGGCTGGAAAGACGACCCTAATCTAAGGTATGGAAATCGACCACAATTTCAACAGTTTAATCAATTTAAGCAACATGGTCAACAAAACCCACCACCTAAACTTGCTAGCCCTTCATTAGAAGATTTGGTGAAACAGTTAGCAACCCAAATAGGACAGGTTCATGACCATGGTGTGGACTATCAAAAGAAAGCTGACACTCACCTACATCACATAGATACTAAAATAGGTCAAATTAGCACTTCTCTTAGTAATTTGGAATCTCAACTTTCGAATAGGCTGCCTTCTCAAACACTTGCCAATCCAAATGAACATGCTAAAGCTGTAACACTTAGGAGCGGTAAAGAGTTAAAGGAACCTAAAATAAAGAATTGAGAAGTAGAGAAAGAGGTAGAAGTCGGACCTAAGGATGTAGTTTGTGAAAATAAGGAAAAACATGATAAAGAGAGTGAGAAAGAACCTGTAGGGAAGGGTAATTCTGATGTGAACTTTGATGTTTCTCGATTTAAAGATACACCCCCTTTCCCCTCTGGATTTTCTAAAGCTAAGAAATAAGCCCTTCACAATGCATTACTTGAAACATTTAGGAAAGTTGAAGTGAATATCCCTCTTCTTGATGTTATTAAACAGATACCTAGGTATACTGAGTTTCTAAAAGAGCTCTGTACTAACAAAAGGAACTTCAAGCCTTATGAAAAGGTAAGTATGGGTGAGAACACATCTGCTGTGATTCAAAAGAAACTTCCCCCAAAATGCAAAGATCCTGGCATGTTTTCTATCCCATGTAAAATTGGTAACTTGAAATTTGAAAGATGCATGTTAGACTTAGGTGCCTCAATTAATGTCATGCCTAAATCTGTTTATGACACTTTGAATGTGGATCCTTAGTCACAGACTAATGTAGTAATACAATTAGGTGATAGATCGAATGCATTTCCTATGGGTGTATTAGAAGATGTACTAGTTCATGTGAATGACACTACTAAAAAATGTCTTTAGTATCAGAAATTATCTGATACTAAAGAGTGACTTTCCGATACCAAAAACCATTAGTATCGGATATATATTCCAATACTAAACTGATACTAGTACCTCCGTGGCTAATATGTTGGTATCAGTTCTGCAATCCGATACTAAAAGGGTTGCCTATAGTATCAGAAATAGCAATAGTATCAGTTAATTAGTAACAGAAAATCCGATACAAAAACTATATCCAATGGTATCAATATTTTTCTGTTACTTTACATATACTATGGTATCGGAAATACCGATACAAAAGAGTTGTATAATTAGTATCGACCTGGTTTCTGATACTAAACCACCCTATAGTGTCCGAAATTATTGTTACCATAATACTTTCCTATTTTTGACAATTGCTTTAGTAATGGAATTTTCCGATACTAAAGAGAGAAATTTGTAGTGAAAAAATGCATTATTATCATAAAAAATTGATACTTTAGTATCTTTAGCATCACTATTAACTCACAACCCAATTATGCTAATATATATAATTATTTAAAATTTAATACACAATACAAATACTTGAACAAAAGGAATATTTATACTATTTATCCATAAGTTCTCATAAGAGTTTTAGTACAAAAAGTTGGTGCATGCATACTAATATAAACAAAGTGTTTTTACATCATCACCACCACCATTTAAGATATAATAAGAAGTATAATAATAGCATAAAGTTTTCTCAACAAAAGTACAATGCAACTACTTGATTTCCAAAAAAGATCTATGCACCTGCATCAACAATCTTCAAGCTTGGATATTCTAATTCATCACTGGGTTTTAGCTGTAAACACAAAAAAAGAAGAAGCAATACATGTAAGGGAGCAGCAAAAGAGAGTAAACACAAGTGAATCAGAAACTATGAACTATCAAAGTATCAATCTATCATATCTATTAATTAATTATTAATCAACAACTCCACAAGTATTCAAATTTCAAATTCAACTATTAAAATATCAAACTATCAAAGTAATGAAAGTATCAAATTTCTACTATTCAGAAAATTAACTCCAATAATAGTAAGTAACCTCTGTCAAAGTAACAACACCACAAAGGCAGAAAACAATGTAAGAATGTATGACTTAGTATTTGTGTAACTGTAATATAAAAGTGTCAGGATGTTATGTCTGTTTCATGGATGCAAACCAAATAGGAGTAATATCAAGCAAACCAGACCCACTAGACCCACTGGAATTACAATTTATGCTCATTTTTTTACTTTCTAATTAGTCATTTCTCAGCAACAAAAACATATTTGTTCACACAATCAGCATGATTTACATACTTCATTAATTAATACTCCACATAAACCATCGTCATTCGCCAACAAATCCGCTATTTACCCAAAAAAAAATTAAATTAGCAAATTAAATTCACTAACCTCACTACCTCAGCGAAATTCAACGACGTCGGACCGTCGGACTGTTGGTGTCGGAGCACCTGATGCCTGGCTGATGACGCGTCACCTGCGGGGCTGCGGGACAGAGGAATGACGGACAGAGTGACAGGGTTAGGATTAAAAAATAAGTTGTAACCCTCAACCTACACAAGCCCTAAGGCAAGCACACACCCAAAACCCCCAAACTAAACAAAAGAAGCTACAAGCTAAAAATACTTTGAAAGGTTTTCTATGATTTCATAACTTACTGTATCAAGTTATTACACTTTATTCATTTCAATGTTGACAATAATAATACAATCTAGCTAATCAATAATCACCTTGGTGAAATAGGAAGATGTAAAGCTGATGGTTGATCTTGTACTCAACAGTACAATAGCCATTAGAATAAAAAAAATATAACAATGTTCGTTCGGTTTTTACTCTATACATAAAACAGCTAGCAATAGTTCTAAAACTGCTCACTATCACTCAATTTGAGTAATAGAAGGAAGATATGGAGTCATCAATTTTGCAGGTATCAGATTTTACCACCAGCTCATTGACACTCTACTTGCTACAGGTTTGTTTTAAGATACAAAAAAAGAACATGCTTTTAGCCTTTGAGGTTCAACAGAAAAATTTAAGGTCTTACTGTAACAATCATTTTACTTCTGCTAAGTTAACTCATTCGAGTTTCTTTACTTCTATATGACCAGGGATTCAACCTTTTGTGACACTGAGCCACTATGACATCACTGAGTTTTTTTTTACTTATGTATGAATAGGGATTCAGCCTCTTCTTCTTGCAATTAGCAATCTGCTTAATTTTTCAATGAAACCTCTACTTTCATCTCTGGTTTTCTTTATAAGATATAACTTCCTGCTTTTTATTTTTTATTTTTTTAATTGTTGCCTTATTTTCTTTTCATTTTCATATAACTTCCTGCTTTTTATGCTGGTGCTGCTGCCGCAGCAAGTGGCAGCAGCCCTCATCAGACCCCCAAACCAAAAAACATCAACACACCATAGCTACATCAGCCAAGCAGCCTAGCAAGCTAGGAACACAACACACCAAACAGCAGCACCAACAAACCAGCCCACAGAAAAACAAACACCTATTCTATTTGTTTTAAACAATGGAGTAAAAATGGTAAAACATACCTTGATTAGATTGCATGTGGAGAACCAATTTCTTCAATGTCTGCATTTATTCTTCCAAAGCTTCCCTTTTCCTTTTTTCACTTAACATGTTTTCTTCTAGCTCCTTTCTTTTCTCAGTTTCCATGGAAATTCCTTGCTCCAATTCTAGCCTTTTTTGCTTTTCTATCTCCACTTCTTCTTCCAATGTTTTTCTTTTCTCCACTTCTTCAACCATATGTCTTGCTTCAGTGTTGTGGTACATAGAGTTACCTTTAGTTGACACTTTCACACCAATTCCATACGTACGTTTGTACCCACGCTTATCTTCTCCAACAACAAGCTCAAATATTTTGTCTCGCTCACTAACAATATCACAATCAGGGGGAAGCTTCTCTTTATGGTTTTTCACTGAAGCCTACAAAGGTCTCTAAATAGTTATTATACGGAAAAATATATCTAGAAAGTGTAAAAAAATAATAAATTTATATACATACAAGCTTCATCTCAGAAATTGGATCCACTGGTTTTTTTTTTGCGTCACCATAAGCCTTTTCAAAGACCTTAAGGCGATCAGGTGCTTCACCATCCTCCGCTGTCTAAAAATAAATTTAAGTTACATACTGAAGATGATAATATTCTATTAAGAGTTGGTGTTTAGAATAGTTAAATTTACCATTTCCTCTCTTAATCGAGCCAAACTTTTTGTGCCCAAGTGATGTGCCATTGTAGACTTCATGCGATTATCAAAATTTCTATTGCTGCAATCCTATTTTTTTCAAAAGAAAATATAAATATAATATCATACTCAAGAAAATATCAATAAACAAACTCAAAGGGATTGATTACATATACCTTTCCTTCTTTTGACTCCCACCTACGCACTATATTTGCCCACTGGTCAAGATCAACTCTAGTATTAAGTGGCACCAGCAACTCTTCTAAAGATTTTTCTTCTGGTTTGTAATGTTTCTGTTTAAGTTTTGTTCTCCATGATCTAAGGCAACTATCAATCTTTTCCATGGACCAATCTTTTGGAGAAGTAGGACCTTCAAATGTAAATCTAGTCTACACAACATAATGCAAAGAGAAACGTCAACTAAAAATAAAAACTACAGGAAAAAAAAGCAATATGTATTAATTAAGTCTTATACCAAAATAATCTTCCAAAGAACTTCTTCTTTTTCCTTGTTCAAAAACTTCCTCCAATCATTCAAATCAAATGGTACTAATTTTGGGTCTCTAGCAAGTAGACCAAGGTAAGATGAGAGTATTCTGCCATGTTTACCAATTGGTTGTCCATTGATATTTACACTAACAATAGTTTTCTCATTGCTTGAGAGGTTACCACACTTGTTAGGTCCTCTTGGAGCTTTCTTCTTGAGTCTCTCTATCACAAAATAATAAGATAGAACAAAATGATTCATTTAACTGAGTGCGGCACAAATTCTATATGTAAATAATAAAATAAAATTATAATAAAGATTCAAATACATACCTTGTGAACTAATATCAGGGATTATATGAGTTTCTTCTGTTATATTATTTTCAACATTGGTACCTTCACTTTGTTGTTCATCAAACATATTTTCCTCATCATTGTCACTATCATCACTTGAACTCTCATCATTCCTTAAAACTGCATAACTTTCCTTTTGTTGGGAAGAGGATGAGGCAGGACACTTGCCCTTTAACCTGCTCTTTAAACTTGATAACATAGCAACCTGATGTATATATACACATTAACACATGGAAGACTATACAATCGTCAAACAAAAAGTATATAAAGTATTAATGGTCGGATACAACAAAAATTTATCAAAACTAATAAATAAGTCTATCACAAAATTATTATAAATTTAAAACATAGTTAAACATGAATTAGAAGTCATAATAAGTGTGATCCTCCTCAATGTCATTATCTTCCATGTATTCCTCCTCAGTACCACTAGTGTCATAATCATCCATAGAATCCTCGGTATCACTATCATTATCATTGTCCTTCTCAATATCACTTTCAGAATTAGACTCCACATAGAAGTTATCAAGATCAACTATTGCCGTTTCCAAAGAATCATTGATGTGAGGTTCACTATCATAATAAGTTCTGATGTTATCCTCATTAAGTGCAACCTCATCCATGTCATATACATCCCTTGGTTTTATCTTAGTCACAACATTCCAATTAGGCTCAACTGGATCAAGGGTGTAGAAGACTTGAAAAGCTTGAGAAGCTAAAACATAAGGCTCATTGGTTTTCCACAAGTATTTAAAATTAACAAGGGTAAATCCCAAGGCATCTTCTTTTATTCCTCTCCTATTTCTCATATCCACCCAATCACACTTTAGTAACGTTACTCTTCTTCCTTCGTAATAATGTAATTCTATAATTTCACTTAACATACCATAATATATCACACCCCCTTCTCCATAAACACCTATCCCACTATTTTGAGTAGGGGAATTTTTCTCTACATCTTTTGTACGATATTTGAATCCATTATGCACAATTTTTTTTCATTTTTCTTGCCAAACTACTTGGACCCTTGCTTAGCCACCGAAGATCCTCACTAATTTGCTCATCTTCCTCTTGGCACAAGCGTTCACCCTATGTAAAAAAAAAATTTATGTTGTTGATAGATAGATAAATAAAATAAATAACATATACACGTAATAATTTCTTGCATTAAACACATACATTAGCTTGAAACCATTTCACAAATGTTTCTTTGTGGAGCTTTTCAAGGTCTGATGGTTGTATATGCAAATGTTGTTGCCTAAGAAGCTTCTTATGCTCTCTACATTATAAAAATAATACTAAAATTAGTAGGTGTTGATTGAGGTTAAAAGAAAATAAAAAGAAAAACAGAGCAGATTTTGAGCATCTTACTCTAAATATTTTGTAACCTCGTCGCAATTGAACAAGACATATTCATGTGCTTGGGTCCATTGGTCATGACTCAAAAGAATATTCTCCTCGTATCTTAAAACTTCACTCATATTTGAAAAGATAGACAACCCTTTGCGTTCAAAATCAGAAGTGGATTTACTATTTGTGGATTCAACTTCTTGCATGTATTGAGCATAGAAGGTCATACATTCATGAGCAATGAATGCCTCGGCTATGGAACCTTCCGGCGTTGCTCTATTATGCACAAAAGATTTTAACTTGAACAAAAACCTGCAATTTTATATTTAAAAAAAATAAAAAAGCAAATCATTAAAAGTGTTTTTTATAAGGATATTTATGACTAAATGATATATTAAATCATACCTCTCAATTGGATACATCCATCGAAATTGGACTGGACCGGCAATGGCCGCTTCATATGATAAATGACTCACTAAGTGTACCATAATGTCAAAGAACGATGGAGGAAAAATCCTTTCTAGGCGACAAAGTGTCACAATTACACTCTGTTCTAATTTCTCAAAATCATCGAAGGAAGCATCCTTAGAGCACAATTCCTTAAAAAAGTTGTTGACCTCAATCAAGACTGCACTTATTTCTCTAGGCAATGCTTTTCTAACAGCTAAAGGCATCAATTGTTGCATAATAATGTGACAATCATGACTTTTTAAGCCAAATACTTTCCCATTCTTCACATCAACACAACGAGCTATATTAGATGCATAGCCATCAGGGACCTTAACTGATGATAAAACTTTACAAAAATTTTCCTTGGCCTTTGTATCCATATGAAATGGTGCTTTTGGCTTTTCATATTTCTCTCTTACTTTCACAGGATGTTGTTTAAGCCTAATCTTCATGTCTTGAAGATCAAAGCGTGCTGCTAAAGTGTCTCTACTTTTCCCCTCAATATCCAACAAAGTCCCAAGTAGAGATTCACACACATTTTTTTCTGTGTGCATGACATTTATGTTGTGCCTAATCAAATGGTCTTTCCAGTACGACAATGTGAAAAATATACTTACCTTCTTCCAACAAATTCTCTTTTGGCTTTCCTTTTTAGACCCTTTTCTTTTTCTCTTACGACACTTAGGCATCTTATTATGCTTTACAAAAGTTACTTTGATCTTTCGCATTTGATAAAGCAAATCAGCCCCTGATCGTATTTTTGGAGGCGGTATCTCTTCAACTTTACCATTGAATGCAGCCTTACATCTTCGAAATGGATGATTTTGATCAAGGAGACAACGATGTCCCATGTAACACAACTTCTTACTTTTTTTTCAGATAATGAGAACATGTATCAACATTACAATGAGGACAAGCCAAGTAACCTTTTGTTTTCCACCCCGAGAGATTACCATAGGCAGGAAAATCATTTATTGTCCACAACAAAGCAGCACGCAATATGAAAGTATCATTGGTTAATGCATCATAAGTCTCTACACCATTCCATAATTCCATTAGCTCATCAATTAGAGGTTGTAAATAAACATCAATGTCGTTACCAGGATCCTTAGGACCAGAAATAAGGAGAGACATTATAAAATATGAATCTTTCATGCATAACCAAGGTGGCAAATTATACACCATAAGCACAACAGGGCAAGTACTATGATTAGTGCTCATATTACTAAATGGATTGAAACCATCACTAGCCAAACCAAGTCTAAGATTTCTAGCATCTCGAGCAAACTCTGGATATTTTTCATCTAAATTCTTCCAAGCTAAGGAATCAGAAGGGTGCCTTTGTTTCCCATCTTTACTATGTCCCTTTTTATGCCATCTCATTAATTTAGATGTTTTACGTGACATAAAAAGACGTTTTAAACGTGGGATTAGTGGAAAATGTCGAAGCACCTTTGCTGGACCACTTTTCTTTCCAATTAGTGGATCTTTCCATCTTGATACATCACATACATTGCATTTTTCATCATTAACTTTCTCTTTCCAGTATAACATGCAATCATTAGGACATGCATCAATTTTAGTATATCCTAAACCTAAATCAGCCATGATCTTCTTCATTTGGTATAAATTTTTTGGCAAGTTTGATCCATTAGGAAGAACATCATTTAATAATTGCAGCATATGATTGAGTGATGTATCACTCCACCGATACAAACATTTCATTTGATGAAGTCGGAGAATGAATGACAAATTTGTGAATTTATCACAACCAGGATATAATTTTGTTTTAGCATCTTGCACAAGCTGGTGAAACTTTTGAACTTCTAAATTCGTCTCTCCCTCACCAGCTTGTGGAAAGTCATCTAGAATATTTTTTGAACTAGGAAATCCAAAAGCATCATGAAGTAATCTATACAAATCATCACCGGCCCATCATTAGACTCCTCATCACTTAAAACTTCATCGTCTACTCTAGATGGCGAAGGTTCTTCCCCATGAAATACCCAAATACTATTAGCATAATTTTTATCAAAACCCACACAAAATAAATGCTCACGAACATCTTTACGATCAAGATACACAGTGACAGCACATCTCTTACATGGATATTTAATCCTCCCATTAAAGGCTGAAGTATTAAGTGAAGATTGTATGAAATTATTTACTCCTTCCCTGTATTCAGGACCATTTCTTGGCATATATACCCAACCTTTTCCCGTATCCATAAAATCAATAAGTGACTTCAATCAAATCCTATTCCAGAGGATTAATAAAGTAATAATCAATATAAGTTACTAAAACTTTGTATTAATATTCATATAATACAAAAAAAGATGAATACAATTATTTTCAAACTCGAATTATAACTTTAAAGTAAACAAATATTAATCAATTACATGTAGTTTCAAGTTTAATAATATTGAAAAAAAATCACATGGAAAACACGACACACATATTTTCAAACTAATATTACAACAACAATAATAATGATGATGAAATCATATAAGCACAAATCACCATATAATATATACACAAATTACCAATAAATATCATAACAGCAAGAACGAGCAATACTAATAGAAGTACCTTGATAATTTCCCTTTTTGAAAAGCCCAACGTACCACAATCTGTCTTTGTACTTATTTACTTGTTACATTGATACAACATCAAGAACATTAAATTAAAATAAAATAGAAGAAAGTTATAATGCTAAAAAAGCTTTGGCAACAATTTTGATTGATTATGGCAGGTCATGGAGTCATAATAAAGAGTATTTTTAGTGTAAACTTAATGTGAATTACAGCGTAGTAATGTAGAATGAACCTACTTACGGAAAGATGTTACAGCAAAACTACTCAGATATGTGTTCATGATTGCTCTAGAATGTCATTAACACATCAATGGTGCTGTTATATTACAGGATATGGAGATATACATGCCGTCAATATGCGGGAAATGATATTCATTATGATTTATGTCTCGTTTGATATAATTTTGGGTGCTTATTTGATCGGTAATATGACTGCATTGATAGTTAAAGGCTCTCAAACAGAACGATTTAGGGATAAAATGGCAGAAGTAATGAAATATATGTACAGAAATAGGCTTGACAGGGACCTTCGTAATCAGATTATGTCTCATCTGCGTCTGCAATATGAAAGTAGCTATACTGAGGCTTCTGTTTTGAATGACATTCCCATTTCTCTTTGAGCAAAGGTAATGTACAAGAACCAGCATTAAAAAATTTCTAATATGTATCTGAGAAATTGAGTTGCTTTTGCTTGTGTAATTTCCTTACTAGGATGAGCTAAATATATACTCTATTGTTTATGCAGATTTCCCAAACATTGTACATGCAGTACATAGAAAATGCTGCAATTTTTAAAGGATGTTCTATAGCATTCACGAATCAGATTGTAAGCTCCTAACTTTCTATCTATTTTTCGACAGATTCTAATTAACTATTAGAGACGCCCTTACTTCTTTAATACTAAGTACGTAGTACTATCAATAAGTCAATCAAGAAGCATTCCTATCAAGAGTTTCAGACTCTAAATTGTATTTCTTTCTCTAAATCAAATTCTCATTGCACATTCATCCAGTAAAACCACATTTAAACAACCAAACTAACAATTTCCTCTACAATAACCCTAAAATCAATCGATAAATCAATCAAATTAAATCGAAATGCAGCATTAAAAATGAAAAAAAATGAAATCAGGAAAAATACCTTTCCAGAAATTGGCGACAACAGAAACAGGAGAAGCAGAATCCTTTGAAATTTTGATACCAAATTAATTCTGACCATATAAATACTCACTAATTTATGACCAAACAAGTTGAGACAAAACCCTTAATTTTTTTTACATTTAAATTAACAATTTTTGACAAATTATGCTCAAAATAAATGAAATTCAAAGATTAGTACTATGAACTTACAAAATAATCACAGCTAGAGAATTTCAACGGCAAAACCCAGCAGATCCCACTTGATGCGCAACCATTACAGAATAACGTCGAGCATAATGTGTGATTTTTTTTGTAAATTTGAGTAGATGAGTGATAATTTTGGTAAATTTGGGCCGCAGATTGTTTTAGAACCCTAGCTGATCGTGAAATAGAATAAAGAGAGAGATGAAGAGTGTTCTTTGTTTGTTTCACTGATGAAATGAGAAAATGAAGGATTTTTTTTTGGGCTTGGTTTTGGTTACATTACCTAGGTGAAATTTTAGAAATGAAAATGGTTTAAAATTTCTGTAATATTTTAATGTGGCGCCATATTTTTATTTTCAGTTTTGTGATAGCGCCAATTTTTTCACTAGATATTCATAATGCGATTTAGTATCAGAAATTTTTGTTACTATAAGTATCTAATAGTATCAGAATTAATTTTGATTCTAAACAGCTTAGTAGTGTCAGAACTTTTTGTTACTATAACTATTTTATTGTATCAAATTAATTTCGATAATAAAAAATCCTATAGTGTCGGAACATTTCTGATACTATCTTGTCATTTATATCGGATCAACATATTTCCGACACTATAATAAAGTCTAATACTAGCCTACCATCCAAACCATGGAAGTAGTGTCAGAAAAAAAATAACTGATATATTAACATTTTTAGTATCAATAATAATTACTGATACTAAAATTTCCGATACTAAAGGCCCGTTTTCTAGTAGTGTGAGTTAGTCTTTCCAGCTGATTTTGATGTGATCGATATGGGTGAAAAATCTGATAGTGTCCCTTTGTTGTTAGGTTGAACTTTTTTAATGACTTCAAAAGCTAAAATTGATGTTCACGAAGGCAATCTTACAATTGATGTCAAGGACCGCCTATTTATTCATCTGAATGCTTATATGGACGGTTGCTTGCTTAGTGTTGGATTAACTACAAGCAAACAACCATCCAGGGGCAGACAGAGCCATTGCATCCGGCATGCCGCATGTATCAATTCAAAATGCAAAAACTGCAAAAAGATACAAAAGTACGCGGCACGCAGGCCAGATGAAAGCAAGAAGTTTAAAAAATGATAAGCTACTGTTGCTGCTGCTGTTGCTGTTCTGGCAGCTGGCCCTGACCGGCAGGAGGGGCTTCTTGAGTTTGCTGGGTCTGGGCTTCTCCATCCTCACTCGGCGTAGTCTCTTCCGCGTGCTCCTCCTCCTCGATGCCGGCCCATTCTTCGAAGGGCGCTTGCTTCTTAGTCCCGAGAACTTGAGCATCAAATACCTCGGTAGCGTATTTGTACCTCAAGTCGAAGAAAGCATAGTTGATATCCGGATGGATCAAAGACCATGCCATCTTCATGGGCTCCTCGCAGTCGCGCTCGTTCTCGATAACCAGCCAGTTTTTCTCAGCCGTCAATTGGTTTAGGTGCTCCTTCTAGGTCTTAACCAGCTCATCCTTCAACCGGGTGACCTCAGCCTTTAGCCCGGTGTTCTCCTTATCAGCTTCCCCCAAGGCTTTGATGTCAGCCTTGAGTTGGTTGACCTGGAGTTCACAATCGACAGCCTTTTTGTTGGCTGTATCAGCAGCAGCCGTGAGCTCCCGGATTAGCTCCTTCTGTTTCATCTCCCGGGCTTTAGTTTGGATTTCAAGCATAAGGGAGTTATATTGACAGACATCTATTAATTCGGCTGCCCGTCGCTAGGCATCCCTTACCTCCTCTTGCTTCTTCCGCATGGGGGCTTTCATCCCATCAACCCTCAACATCACCTGCAAAGTCAGCCGGAAAAGAAGTTAGCTTCTCAGTTATATTACAACCGGCAATAAGCAAAATTGCACAAAAGTACCCCAAACGGTGTATTACCTCAGCCAACAGTGAGTTGATGCGGTCAATGTTGACCTGGTTGATACCCGGTACCGCCTTCTTCTTAGACCGGGTGAGGGTCCTCAACATTCTCTGGGCATAATTTTACATATCCGGCCAACGAGAAGAGGCATCTGCATCATGAGATTTATTCGTTAAGTACTGGGCATAAGCAGCGCCTATATTCAGGTGGATGCCTGACGAATCCTTTGACTGAGAAGCTTGGGACTTGACTCGAACAGGCCCAAGCGGCCAGGGGGGGTCAAAAGTAAGAGTCGTACCTTGGTTTTCAAGCTGAGGGGTGGCACCACCCCCAGCCGCATTGGAGCCGAATGCAACAGCAAGCACCCGGCTAGAGGGAACCTCAGGCTCTCCAGTCCTGGCCTCAGCCAACCCTTAGCTCAAGCCCAGATCTCGCAGACTTTTTCCTGCAGACATAGGCCTCTCAGGAGCCGGCTTCCTTTCGGCAGAGGTAGTATTAGGAGTAGGTGGGACCCTCCGCATTTGTGAAGCAGGCTGGGAGAGTTCCTCTCCCGGTCTTTTCACCATCTGTCTCAGGGAGCAAGGAACGTTCTGGCTCCCTGTTAATAAAAGATAGCAAAGCAATCGGTTAGTTCAAGATGGTTTGCAAGACATACAAACGACAAAAGATCAACCGGTGCTTACCCCATCGCCTTTGGCCGCCAATTGGGCCCTCTTTTTCTCAAGCTGCTCCTTCCGTATTTCAGAGGCTGACTTAGCCGGCGTTTTTTCAGGAGGAGTCATCTCGAGTCCTTTCTCTGCAAAAAAAAGAAAAGAAAAAAGAAAAGAAAAAATGTTAGAGATCATTCAAACACCATACAGGCGGCATAAGACGCCGGTTAAACAATAAACCTACGTTTGCTCTAAAAGGTACTAAGACTGCAGGCGGAAAGGAACGCCTCGTCCTTGAACCAGTCCGGATGAGGGACCCAGAACCAGTCCCATCATCCAGTGGCAGGGTTGTCTTCTTAAAAAGGCCCGGCTCCATTATCTGATCCCAACACCTCTCTGGTATCCCGGGGAGGGCGCATTTCTTTCCCAATAGAGCCGGGTTCTTATTGTAACGGCGCAGCTGGTGGTTCGCAGCCGGAGAAGGGGAAGAGACCATATAGAATTTGCTCTTCTAGCTGGTCCATTTAGTGGCTTCTCCAAAGTCATCATATACTCCGGATGCGTGGTCAATGTGTACCACGCATTCCAACCGCCTGATGCACGACTCAGATAGTGCATGTGCGCAAACGCCTCCCAGTTAGGCGTCACGTCCTGCATTTCGCAGGCGGCTATGGACCCTAAAATGTTCACCCAAGAGTTGGGTGTGATCTGTTAGACGCCAAGGTCGTAACCCCTTAGAATGGCTTTAATGGTGTCGTGGAGGGGGAACCGGAGGCCGGCTTTGAATGCCGCCTCATAGCAGCCGAATTAATTATCGGCGTGATCCAAGCCTTCATCCCAGACGATAGATGCATCTACAGGTGGAACGACGACCTCCCATCCTGTCCCTACCGGACGCTTCTCCAAAAATGTCGAGAGGGTCGCATTTAAGGTCACAACGTCCCGGGCGCTCATGTGCGCCTCTGTTGGGTTATTTGCTAAAGGACAGTTATATGCCTCCTCATCCTCTTGAGGGGCATCCTGCTCCATTGTCGACTCTATGGAGTCGGATTGTTGGACGGTTTCTTCACCGTCTGAGCTTCCGGACTATTCAAGAATCTCATCTCCAAGCGTGCTAGGTACGCCCGGTTGGTTAAAAGGAGCATCATCAACCGGAGTTCCGGTTGAATCATCGGATTGGTACTCGGGGTCAACAACCGTTTTTCTTTTCCGAGCCATTCTATCCTGCACATGAACAGAGACGGTCGGATTCGTAGAAGAATAAGAGTGGTCCAAACACCCCCAGACGGCATCCCCAGTCCTAGACTCAGCCATATTCGGTGAACGGTTGACAACTGCTCTAGGCCGTGCCGTGTGTGTGTTGGGTGAGTCCATTACTCTAACAACCTATACAGTTGGGAAAAACTTAAAAAGTTGCAAGGGGAAAAGACGGTAGCTTGAAGTAGTGAAAAAAACTTACTAGCAGACGGATCTTAGAGTTGTTGCTTGAAGATACCCCAGACAGTATCCCTTTGAAGAGCAACTGAAGTTTGTAGAAGACTCAACCGTTTTCACAAAATGTGGCTTGAAGATACCACAGGCGAAAGTGTCCGGCTGTCTATGTTTCGAAAGTTGAAGAAAAAGACAAATAGTCAGACGTTTTCGAAGAAAATCGTTCAAAGATACCCCAGACAGTATAAGACTGATGAGGAATGAAATGTCATCGTCAATACACCTTCCTATCAAATTAATCCTAGTTTACCTAAATGAGTATAGAGGCAAGCAAGGGTCGAGATCCACGGAGAAACGGGAGATTGCAAAGCTAAGCGCTAATAGTAGAGGATTAAAAAGGGGTGTATATGAATAAAAGAGGTGGAAAACAAGGCAATAAATAAACTAAGGCTAACAAAATTACTCTAACAATTAACAAAGACTAACAAGTATTGGAAACTATGAGATTAAATACTCTAGGGGGATCGGGGAACGTCAAACTTGGAGATTAAGAGCTAAACACATAGATAATCAAGGATTCACAAACAAGGGATCAAAGATCCTACTTAACACAACTCATTCCCATGCAATTGATTAAGCAATGTATAAACTACGATCTATCCTAACATGATCACTCCCGCGCATCAATTAGGACATGTAATAATATAGTCAATGGTGCACAACATCAACCATATAACAATTAGCACAAGTTCATACAACAAGGGTTTAAATCCCCAAAAATCAAATATTTAATCAAATAGCAACCAAGTCATCCATTCCCCTTCCCCTAGCTAAAATTCTAGCCTAGGAGAGAGAAACTACTCATATCAACAATACCTAAAATATTGGCCATAATCAAAATCATAAACATAACTATCAATAATACTTGAAATATGTAAATAAACCAAAATAAAAGAGATTAAGATAGAAACAACTTACAAAGCTTCAACTTTGTATTGAAATAAGAAAGTGGGTTTTTGAACCTTCAATGGTGAACCACCAAAAATCCAATAGAATGCTCCAATATTGATTACAAGGATGATCAAAGCACTAATCTATATTAAAGACTAAAGTTTGGATGATAAAAAACTTATAATCTGAACTTTCTCTCTCTAGAAACTTATACAAGCATTAATGGAGGCTATTCTCTCTCTAGAATTGTTCTAAGCACTTTGCCCTAAATGGAATAGCTGCCTTTTTTCCCTTTCAAATCAGCTTTTAAGTGGGGAAATAAAAACGGGCTGGGCTGACATCGTGCGCGCCCGCTACAGCTCTTTGCGCGCCCGCGCAGTATGATGCGCGCGCCCTCTGCTAAGGTCTGCGCGCCCGCGAACTTCATTGTGCGCGCCCTCTACTAAGATCTGCGCGCCCGCGGAGTATACTGCGCGCCCTCTACTGAGTGCGCTTGGCATCTACAGAAAGTTGCCTTGTATCTTCAAGAGTTCAAGCTAATCTGCGCACCCTCTCCAGGAATCATCGCGCCCGCACAGGATGATGAGCGCGCCTTCTACAGGGCGCGAGGCATCTACGAGGCATACATCTTGATTTGGCCTTGAATGCGCGCCCTTTCCCTTGGGTTGTGCGCCCGCGCAGAGCGGGAGAGAGGGCTCTCTTGGGCGCGCAGCCTGATTAGAAGCTCCTCACTTGATTTGCTCATGAAACCGGCTCTCGAAACTATCCCGAACTTTCTTCTACTTCACATATCGATTGGTTTACCTGCAAAACACATGAAAACACCCAAAAACAGTACAAAAAGGTAAAGTAGAGGGGAAGTACAAGGGAAATAGCATTGTTGTGCAATATATGGAGAAGCGCGACAAAATAGGGCTAAATAAGCGATAAATGGAGGGAAATGGTAGGAAAAAGGATCCCAAATAGTGGCATAAATGCCACTTATCAAATTCCCCCACACTTACCTCTTGCTTGTCCTCAAGCAAGATCACCACCCAAATTAGAAATAAAGGCAGACAACCAAGATTAAAAATAAAAGAAAGACAAAAGAATATACACTAACTCACTTTTGTAGGAATCACGGTTGTTTTTAGCGCAAACAACAAGCCATTTAAACCTCAAAGTCGCCTATGAGGACGAGTATGCTCTCGTGAAGGTTTCCTAAGAGATTAACCCACAACTCTTGGCAAAAACAAAGGAGAAAAAGACAAATCAAACACTACAAAGATAAACATAATTCGGCATGGCTTAAAAAAAACAACATCAAATTTCAAGATGGACAATTGCTTTATTCGGGCTCAACTATGATAAACAACATCAAAGAATGTTAGTCATTCTCAACTAAATGGTGAACGCACTTCTCAAGATGCTAAAGATTGCAAGAATCAAGTCTAAGCCAAGCATAGAGAACTAATGAGTCATCTTCCTCCACAGTCCCCTCTAAAACGGTCCGCGTTCCCCCCACTAGCTTCAAATCATCCCCCTAGGTGGCTCCTCATGATTCCACGAAGGAACCGGAAAAAAGAATTACTTTGAGGAGGTAAAAGATCATCCCGACATCTCATCTATACATCCTCTTTCCATAGGGTTGAAAACCATCTCCCTCCACCGGTTAATGACCACGTACTTCTAAGGTCTAAGGGGCTTTCCATGGGTTGTAATGACACGGCTTAAGGTAGAGGTCAGAAGAACAATTTGAAATAGTGGCGGTAATCCCTAAGTGAAGCAAGAGGAAGGGCAGCCCTCAAGGTCAAAACTCAAGACATAACCACAACTCAAATGAACATCCAAACATTTTGATTTCATTCGCATCACTGACTTTATTCAAGGATATACAAGATAGATCAATTTCTCATATCACTTTTTTTTTTATTTATTTTTATTTTATTTTTTTATTTTTAGCTCAAAGCATCACACTTCCCAAATTTTCTTTCATGCTCAAATTTAGACTTTCATCTCAAGAATTTGCTCCAAACCAATTTCATCAAAGGTTCATGCTCATATCCACTACACTCTTCATACTAGCCTTACAAGCCCAGTGCTTCACTAACTAAAAGGGCTGGTAAAGCATAGGTCGTTAGGCTTGTAATGGGGTTGAGACAAGAATGGGAAACATTAGGCTCAGATTGGTTGGCAAGGAGGTTGATGCAAAAGAGAAAATCAAATTTGTAACTAAATAAAAGAAAATATAAATGAAAATGAGAAATGATGCCCTTTTCCTCCCCCAAAAGTCCAAGGTCACGATCTTGGGAGCTAATAATCAACACAAGGATTCAAACGTGCATAGATGAGGATCCTAAAAATGCCGCTCAACAAATTGATGAAGGCTTGAACAAAATGAACCTCACTAGGGACGAGAAGAGTAAGCAACTACCAACTAGGGGGCGTCAAATCCACTATGAGGAGCAACTCCATCTTACCACAAACCGTGAACTAAGGGTTCAAATGCCATCACTAGTTCTTGCCTTTGCTACCATGACTAAGACTCGACTAATTCAATCAACAACAATCTCGAAATGTGCACCTCATCACAAAGTTAAGAACAAAGAAACAAGCATTCTAAGGTGCATCATCACGGAGATAGAGTCCGAATGTAGTAAGCAAGTTCCAAAATATCACTATATCATCATGCCATAATTACGCTTATCACAAATAAAAAAAGGAAATGAAACAAAAGAAAGGAGTAAAGAGGGTTCACATATGAGGCATAAAGATTCAAATAAATCCCAATCGACATACAAGTGAGCGTTCGGTATCAATACCAACGATCCCAGGTTCCTTGGAACCACATGCAAACATCCTCGAACCATTCAACTCCTTCCTAGGATAAGAAGAAAAAAACTAAACACACCAAAAAGAAAAAAAAGGAAGGGTCTCACCGAATGCCGCTTGAATTTGGAATGCGCAGTCATACCATACTCACCATCGGGTTTGCAATTTAAAGCGCGGGTGAGTTGTTTTTGAAGTTCCTTCTTCAATCTGCATCAGTGAGACAAGGAAAACACACCAAAAAGAAAGAAAGAAAAGGAGCATAAACTATACACAAAGGATTAGATCTTCTCATCATAAACAGCAAAACAACTGGATATCAAATAAAAGCAGCGGAAATAGACAACAAGCTAAGATTTCCCCCCCCCCACACTATAGTGATGCAAGCCCCTTATATACAAAAGAATCGACACCTGACACTTATACCCCCCCCCCCCCACACTTAGAAAGAGCAACGACCTCGTTGCTCCAAGGCAAAACAAGGGAAGGGAAGGACAGGGGGCTAGTGCCCACTAGGGCTAGCATCACCGGAGTTCGGCCCCTTATCCCCGTAAGAGAAGTCGTCAGGTGGGCCATGGGGATCCCAACCTCTAGTGTAGCCTGGAGGCCAACCATAATGACCTTAGAAGAGGTCTTGTTGCCAAGTAGGCAACGGGTCGAATTGGGGGGCATGGTTAGGGGTTGGGGGGTGGGTGGGGTCAACATAGGGGTAATTGGGATCACCCCTATAATCACTACCACCCGACAACCTATAATCATAGGACCCGGATGAGTCAGGGAAATCATGGCGCACCCTATTTGGCTCGGAAGGTCCTTGCCAATAGGGGTAGGTAGGGGCGTTGTCACCCCCCCCACGATGGCACTGGGCCATGCTGTGGTGGCCAATATGGATAATTGACCGGAGGCGTGACATCGCCTCTATCTATATGCATACCGTAAATAGACTGATGTTGGAGAAACATACCTTGTTGGGTTTCAAATAGGCTTTGAACACCCAACTGGAGGCTCCCCATTTGCTGCTTAAGGCTTTCCAAGCCTTGGCTTTGGAAGAACTGCTACTGCTATTGCTGTTGTTGTTGATGTTGATGTTGTTGTTGCTGTTGATGTTGTTGTTGTTGTTGTTGATCCACCATCTCCTCATCATCCTGCTCAAATACAAGGCCCTCTCCTCGATCGGCTCTAGGAAGGACACCATTGTCCCTCCTAACCCAGTAGATGTTTCTGGACTCCCTTTGGAAGGAGGTAAGATCCGGGTTTTGGGAAAAAGCAACGGTGTGCATAAGACACCAACCAATCATAAACTCCCTCTCTAGGGGTGAAGGCAATGAATCCCAACCTTTTAAATTGATCGAGATTGAGAAGGATGTCACCGCTATTCCCAACCATAGTGAAAGAGGGGAGGAGGTCCCCATGCCCAAGCTTCAAGGCTAACCTTGTTACCATACTCCCACAGGCAATTTCGCTGGTCTTCTTCCCCTTGGCAATTGATAAGCAATTTTTGATGAAGAAGTAGCCCAAGTTCACTCTTCGGCCTAAGGTGGGCTGAGTAGTGAACCACAGAGTGAGAATTTCCTCTCTAGACATCTTCCCTAAATCCTGCTTGTTGAAAATAGCGTATCCAAGTATACGATGCAGGATTCTTAGGGCCGGGTGAACTATCTCACTAGCTAAAGAGTAACGGGTGTTGAACTCTTCTTTTCCCGTGATCCCCCTCCACCAATGTCTTTCATTATAACCTTCGAAGGAGGAGTTCTCGGGAGCGACAAGGTTGGCATCCGGATTAAAGTCCAGGGCAATGTTGAGTTCACTCAAGGATAGTGTATGAGTTTTGTTGAAAAGCTGGAAGGTTACTCTGAAGTCATCATCCCCCACAGCTTCACTGGAGAAAGTGGAAAATAATTCAAGAGTTGGCTCAAGGTAGGTGTTGAAAGCCGAGTTCACAAAGGTACCCAAATTGAGGTTTTCAAAGAGTACCCAAATGTCTTCGTCAACACCTAAGCTTGTGGTGGCAGGACAGTGATAGTGTTTGGAGGGTCTAAGCTTCCTCTCTCTCATTTTTTTGTAATTGGCTTCGTGGTTGTTATTCTGGAAGGTAAGAGGGGGTAGAGTTGGTTGATTTTGTTGGGATTGGGAAGATTGGGAAGGTTGTGGTTCCTTCCCGCTCTTTGATCGTTTTCTACCAAATTTCAACATTTTCGCCCCAAACACTTCTCAAAAACTTATACCACAAGGAATTCCACACCAAAACACCGAAATTATCAATCCAAACCACAGTTCGAAGAGTACCAACCCAAAGATTCAAATGCACTATCAAGTGAAATCCTACAAAACAACAATTAGCACAACGAATACAACAACGTAACAAAGTTAGTCAATAGGCAAGGAGCTCATGAGATTTATACATCACCCAAACAATTCTCAAAATTCCCAAACTACTCACACTCATCGTGAAATTCATGGCCAACAATTTACATATCATAAACCCACAAATACCTATATTTAACAATTCACAATTCCCTAACTATTTCAAGAAAATCCCAAAAATTGCAAATCATCCACAAGTATTTAATTAGAATCACATATTTGCCAGAGTACTCATATACATGTCAATATTATCATAAGAATTGCAAAAATACCACATGTATTTCAATTGAGTCCAAAATTTCTCCCACAAACATCACAAATTCAAGAAGCCTATCATGATTCTATCAAAATGTAATGAAAACTAGGCTTAGGAAGTTAGATATACCTTCTTGAAGATGAAAATTCGAACAAAAACTCCACCTAGGAGGTTCAAATCGTGCCAGTGGGAGATTGGGGTTTTTCTTGAAATCTCTTGGGTGAGATTCAAGGGTTTTTGATGAGCAAAAATATGCAAAGTGAGATTATGGTGAGTGTTTGATGAATTTTTTAGGGAGATTTGGGGAGGAAAGGTGAAGATTTTGAGGTATGATGGAGGTTAGTAATGGAGGTTAGGGTTTAGGAGAGAGAAGTTAGAGCGTGAGAGTGAAAATGAGGATGAAAGAAGCATACCTGCGTTTTTGTGAATTGGAATCGTGCGCGCCCGCGCAACTCGCCTGCGCAAATCACCTGTGCGCCCGCGCAGACCTGCGAGATAGCCCTCTCACGGGCGCGAAGGCCATCTACAGAAACATTGGCCCTTTTTCAGAAATTGTGCGCGCCCTGTAGAGGGCTCTCTTGCCATCTACAGAAACCTTCTTCAGTTGGCCTGAACACTTGCGCGCCCTGTAGAGCCCTCTCAAGGCATCTACAAAATATTTTTCCTCCTACCATCAATCTCAAAATGCTCTCTAACTCTACTAAAAATTCCTAAACACATCAAACTAAATTGTTTACCAATATTACAAAACCATTAAAAACATATAAAAGTTCAAGTTCAAAACGACAATACTCCTATAATTACGGAATTGGCTTCGAGAGCTCTCATCCCGAGATCATCAAACGCTCGTGAATGTCGTTAATCCTCTTCATTGTGCTCCTTCCTTAGGCCTACTTAACCTACAATAAAAACAACTAGGGATTAGATCCAATCATAAAATCTAATTACAAAAAATAAAAAACTCAAAGGATAAAAGGGAGAAAGGGGCTCGGGTTGCCTCCCGAGAAGCGCTTCTTTTTGAGGTCATTAGCTTGACCGTTGCTCCGATTCATTAAAGTTCTACAAGGGAAGGCTCGTAATCCATGGGATCAAGCCTAAGGCACTCAATACGACCAAACTTCGTTCTTTGAATGATAGAGTTTGATGCGGTGTCCGTTAACCCAAAACTTATGATTACCCGCATCTAACTCAAAGGACTCATAGGTAGTAACATTAGAAATCTTGAAAGGACTGGACCACTTGGATTTCAATTTTCCGGGGAAAAGACGAAGTCTAGAGTTGAAAAGTAAAACTTCATCTCCAACCTTGAATTCTTTGAACTTTATCCTTTGATCGTGCCACTTCTTTGTTTGCTCCTTATAAAGCCTTGAATTCTCATACGCATCGAAACGAAGCTCCTCTAATTCATTCAATTTCATCAATCTTTTCTTTCCGGCTTCCCCAAGGTCCATATTAAGCTCCTTGATGGCCCACCAAGCCTTGTATTCCAACTCGACAAGCAAATGACAAGCCTTGCCATAAACCAACCGGTAAGGGGTTGTACCAATGGGGGTCTTGTATGCCGTCCTTAAGGCCCAAAGAGTATCATCGAGTTTGAGAGACCAATCTTTTCTAGACTTGTTCACCATCCTCTAAAGGAGGTTCTTGATCTCCCTATTTGATACCTCCACTTGTCCTTGAGTTTGGGGGTGGTAAGGTAGGCCGATTTTGTGATGAACCCCATATCGTTTGAGGAGAGCTTCGAGTTGTTTCTTGGCAAAATGAAAACCACCATCACTAATTAGAACTCTTGGAACCCCGAATCGCGGGGAAAATAACCTTCTTAAGGAGCTTGAGCACAACCTTGTGGTCATTGGTGGGGGAGGGTATAGCTTCGATCCACTTGGTCACATAGTCCACCGCCACCAAGATATAGAGATTTCCACAAGAAGAAACAAAAGGCCCCATAAAGTCGACCCCCCAAACATCAAAGGGCTCAACCTCCAAAATGCTTTGTTGAGGCATTTCGTCACGTTTGGTTATGCCGCCACTCCTTTGGCACTTGTCACACCTTGCAATGAACTTATGGGCATCCTTGTGCATTGTTGCCACCAAAGAAGAGATTGAGAGATCTTGGCCACGGTCTTTTCAACTCCTCCATGCCCTCCACACGGCAATGAGTGGCAACGTTCAAGAACCCCCTCGATCTCATGATCCGGGACACATTTCTGGAAAAGGCCATCTCCACATTGCTTGAACAAATAAGGATCATTCCAAAAATACCTCCTCACTTCCTTGAAAAATCTTTTCCTTTGTTGAGAGGAGAATTCTGGGGGAATGACTCCACATGCTAGATAATTGGCAATGTCCGCATACCAAGGGCTTGATGTTAACACCATAGCCATGAGGGTCTCAAACCCCACTTCATCATTGATAGGAACATCTTCCTTATTCTCAAAAGGAAGCCTAGACAAGTGATCCGCTACATAGTTCTCCGCTCCCTTTTTATCCCTCATCTCAATATCAAAATCTTGTAGCGAAAGAACCCAACGGATAAGACGCGGTTTTGCTTCCTTTTTGGTCATGAGATAACGAACCGCTACATGATCCGTGTACACGATCACCTTTAAGCATATGAGGTAAGACCGGAACTTATCTATGGCAAAGACAACCGCTAACATTTCCTTTTCCGTTGTGGTATAATTTCCTTTGAGCTTCGTCAAGTGTTCTACTTGCATAGTAGATGACATAGGATCAACCTTTCCTTCTTTTTGTCCAAGCACGGCACCTACTGCAAGATCACTAGCATCGCACATTAGTTCAAAGGGCAAGCTCCAATCCGGAGATTGCACAACGGGAGAGGAAATGAGGGCTTCCTTGAGTTTTTGAAACGCCTTAAGGCAAGCCTCATCAAAGCTAAATATAACATCCTTTTTGAGCAATTCGGTCAAAGGCTTGGAAATTGATGAAATTTTTTTGATAAACCTCCGGTAAAAACCGACATGCCCTAGAAAGGCTCTTACTCCCGTAACAGAAAGGCTCTTACTCCCGTAACGGAAGTAGGAGGGGGCAACTTGGAAATCACCGAAACCTTTGCCGAATCAACTTCTATGCCCTTTTTTGATACTTTATGGCCTAGGACTATGCCTTCCTCGACCATAAAGTGGCATTTCTCCCAGTTCAATACCAAACTCGTCTCTTGACACCTTTTCAAAACTTTTTCAAGATTATAAAGACATGTGTCAAAAGACGAGCCACCAACACTAAAGTCATCCATGAAAACTTCAATTTCATTTTCAAGCATTTCAGAAAAAATGGAAGTCATGCATCGTTGGAAAGTTGAGGGAGCATTGCATAACCCGAATGGCATTCTTCGGTATGAAAATGTCCCATATGGACATGTAAAAGTGGTTTTCTCTTGATCACTTGGATGGATAAGAATTTGGAAAAAAGCCGGAATATCCATCCAAGAAGCAAAAGGAAAGCATGATGAGAGAGTCTCTCCAACATTTGGTCCATGAAGGGGAGAGGAAAATGATCTTTCTTAGTATTTTTATTCAACTTCCTATAACCAATGCACATCCTCCACCCGGTCATCGTCCGGGTGGAGATTTCCTCTCCTCCTTCTCCCTTGACAATGGTCATTTCCACCCTTTTTTGGAACCACGTGAACCGGGCTAACCCAACTTGCTATCGGAGATAGCATAGATTATTCTCGTTTTCACGCAATTTCAAAATTTCTTTCTTGAAAACCTCTTGGAGGTTGGGGTTCAACCTCCTTTGAGGCTCAATGGAGGTGGATTGATCATCCTCAAGGTGAATACGATGCATGCACAAAGAAGGGCTAATACCCTTGATATCATCAATGCTATACCTTATCACATTTCTATACTTTCTCAAAACAACAATCAATTTTTCCAAATCAAGACCATTAAGGGAAGCATTGACAATAATAGGGTATTCCCCTTCATTTCCAAGGTAAGAATATATCAAAGAAGGGGGAAGGGGTTTGAGTTCTACCTTGGGAGGAGGCTTAGAACTCTCCTCCAATTTTCCTCCTCATGTTCTAGCTCATCATGCTTGGAATCACTCGCTTCCTCCTCTTTGGCTTCTTCAATGGCCATAGAAAACTCCTTTGCTTCTTGAGAGAAGTACTCTTCCTCACAAGTGAGAGCTTCAACCATTGGATCTTGAGGACTCATCATAACCCTTCCCAAACGATCTAGTTCTTCATTTACAACATCAACCCTATAGCACTTCTCAACCATGGGGGTCTTGAGGAGCTTAGAGAGAATTCAAAGACAATTTTTTCATCGGCTACCTCGCATGTAATGGTGTTGTTCTTGCAATTGATTACCGCCCCCAAGGTCTTAAGAGCTTCACGACCCAAAATCAAAGGTGTATCCACATCTTCTTCCATATCCATTACATACAAAGTCCAAGGCACATAGATATGCCCAACTTGAATAGGGACATTCAAGCTCACCACAAGGTAGCTTCACCGAACG